TAGCTAGGGGGCCTGGATTCATGATCCATTTTCTGTTTCCTGTCCAGTGTCTATTTGATGCAGTATGCTCCGTGTCTCTTTTCATTAACTGAGACCTATATGATGTCAATTGAGAAAAACAGTAGCTGATGTTATGAAATACTCACAGTGGCATGACAAAGATCTGTTATAAAGGCCTTTTACTTTCTTCCATTGTATATTTTACTATTGTGTTTTATGCCTGCAGCTTGGCTGTATTGAAAGAAAATATTTCAGCTGGGCCCTGCTGGGTTTTTTTTAACTTGCCTTTGAAATGCTAGGTAACAGTGAGCTCCAGCTATGGCGAACTCCTGACATGAACAGACATTAGCAAATGTGGGACAAGTAACCCCACTGAGGCACATAACAGTCATGCAAACATTCTACTTAAGACCAAACCTGCAAAAGGAGGCATAATCTTCTCTGAGGGTAAGTGAGGTTTGGATTAACTTTAGTGTCACAGATAAAGCACCCTTGATGACTATAAATTACACCCTGCAACGAGTGTGAGGTGGCACCATATTAGAGGACTCCCAGCAGATTTGGTTCTGAAGTGAGACATGTGACACCATGCACTTAAGTGGAGGAATATGAAGCTTTGTTGTTAACTCAAGTTGAAATGTACATGGAGGGCAAAAACTCAGAAAACTAGTACCTTTCCACCTTTCCAGTGCCCCTTAAGACCAGAAAATACTTTCTCCCAAACTCCCTTGGGCAGTTTAAGATGCAGTTTAGTAATCTGCTGCTGCATCATATTGATGGGAGAGGTGATAGGAAAACCTGGCATTACAGCTGTGATCTCAGTGGTGTGAAGTGATGCTAGCAAAACAAAAATAGATCCTACAAATGGTTTGAGGGAAGTTATAGAGCTGAAAATAAGATCCCAGCTTTAATGAGACACGCTAATTGATGGAACTCTGATTTGTGTTGCTTTTAATAATTGTATTTTAATTACTGAATTAATTGATAAGTGCTATAAATGGACTGCAAATGTGTTATCCATGTACAGCCATAGCATGCACTAAAAAAAAAACTATTAAAAAGAGCTCCACACATTAAATTTATGTTACAAATAGGGAAAGTTCCAAGACTGGGTAATAAGTAACTACTTACCAAGGACCAACATTTGGCATCACTACTTAAGATCATAAATGCATTTTAAAGCCATGTAATTTAACAATATTAACTTTAACAGCATTTCTTTCTCCTTAATTTTTAGAAGTCTTTCTAAATGTTAATTTTTTTAAAGGAAAGTCTGGATTTTCTTTAATATTGATGGGACAACAGGCTTCTGACAAATTACAGCCAGTGTGTACTAACAACTCAGGTTTCATGACGCTCAGCAGCTGCTTCCATATTATACAATTCATTTAAAATCCGTTTAGGGGAGGTCACTTAATCCCCTTAGTGTTTGATCTGTAGATCACTATGTTTAAATATGTGGGTCTATTATTAGTAAAAACTACACAAAAAATTTAAATATCATTTGAAGGCTTAAAATTTTGGCATCTGTTTCAAGCATGACTTCTTCAGTAAGCAGTCATTCCAAACTCTACATTATTTGTAAAACTAGTCCATGAATGAAGATTAAAAACCGTTAGTTGTCTCGTTGGTATGGAAACTGGCAGTAATCTTCACTGATTGCTGAACTCAGGGAAAGTAGAATCAGAAGGTACTATTATGAAGAAGACACCTCTATAAACTATAAAGGTAAATTAGCTGCCAGAAATAACTGTTGTATGTTAGGTTTATTATCCATGTAAAGTATCTTTCTGAACATAAAGCCCAGTTTATGGGCAGTGAGGTACTAAAAGGCTATTTTCCCTTTTTCCAGAAAATGCTTCTGTTAAGATGCGAGTATTATGTGTCTATTTGTATGATTAAAAATAATGCCAGACTGGCAGTTTTTAAAAATTGCAGATGCCAATAATTGTCTACTGTATCACTGGTCCAAGGGTACAGCATCAGTGTGGCTGCTCTGTTGTGAATACCTTTGAAACTGACTGAGGCTGGCATTACGTGGGATACTCTCTTGGGTTCATTGGCAGCAATAGGCTCAACCGTAGAAAACCTTTATTTATGCTCCTTGTCTGTGAGTATGGTGAGAAAAACAAAACAAAACTGAAATCATCAGAAAATGAACATCTAACCAGTTCATTTAATGTCAGGTACGTCAAAATTTAAACAATCTTTGCAAATAATTTATTTTAATTTCCTTAATAGGGAAGAAATTAAAGGGACAGATCTACGGATTTTCAGAAATTACATTTCTAAACCTTAGTTGTAGAAACATCATTGTTATTATTTAAATGACTCTAGTCTTTATTTATGACATGTGTTTATGTCACGAACATGATTTCTGGACACTAGAATCTTTTATTTGAAAAAGGCACTTTTACTTTAAGGCTTTTCAGAGTTTTGTGGTAGAAAATTCTACATGGGCAACTAATAAAACCCGTGAGTCTTGGGTAGGGTTCATTAACTACATTCTGCTTGTCCAGTGGTGGCCTCTTTGTTGTCCATGAATCCCTGAAACCACATGTAAAGGTTTTTGCATGTGTACCTTTGCTAGAAAGAAGGTGTACATATTTCAGCAATTCCTCAAGACTTCTGTAACAGGCAAGTGAAACACACAGCAGCAGTTTTAAAAGACAGGTTCATGAAAACCTAGGAATCCTTAAGACCCTCCTAGGGAGTCCAAAGTTCAAAACTATTTATATAACAATACTAAGACATTATTTGCCTTTCACTGTGGCACGGTGCAGAATTAATAGTGGCTAAAACTGATGGCCCTTTAGCACAAAATCAAACCACTTACCATGAAACTATACTATTGTCAGTGTATTTTTCACTGCCATGCTCTCAGTTTTTTTAAAAGCCATTTAACTTACAAATGATGAAGTATAAAAGTTGATTTTATTGATTCTTGACCATTAAGTATATGGCTTTTTAATATTCTGCATGACAATATGAGAAGTATGCACAAAGTATTTGTGGTGATATAGAAGTATGATGGCTGTCTCACAGAAAAACATTTGTGGAGTTATTTGAGAAAGGAGTTTAACTAGGTGTCCTTATTCCCCCAAACACCATTTTTACTCTAAAGAATGGATGACAAACATATGGTTATTCAGATTTGGGTGTTTGAGACATACTTTCTGAAAAGTGAGTGAGCCAGTCAAAGGAAAACAACTGGCAGTCTACACAGCCAGTGATAAAATCTGAGTATATGAATAGACGCTCAGCATCATGTGTTGTTAGGGAATTGCAAATTAAAACAATGAGATACCACTCCACAACTATTAGAATGGGGAGAATCCAAAATACTGACATGACAGCACGAAATGATCCGGAGGTTGGAGAGCAATAGGAACGTGTCATTCATTGCTGTAGAAATGCAAAATGGTGCAGCCAATTTGGAAGACAGTTTAGCAGATTTTTACAGAGCTAAACATACTTTTACCATATGATCCAGCTGTCATGCTTTTTAGTACTTACCCAAAGAAGTTGAAAACTTATATCCACACAAAAACCTGCACGTGGATGTTTATATAAGCTTTATTTAGTTGCCAAAATATGAAAGCAACCAAGGTCCTTCAGTAAGGGGAATGGATAAGCTGTGGTACATCTAGGTGATGGAATATTATTCATCACTAAAAAGAAATGAGCTATCAAGCCACGAAAAGACACGGAGGAACCTTAAATTCATATTATTAAGTGAAAGAAGCCAATTTGAAAAGCCTATATACTATATGATTCCAACCTTTGTGATATTCTGGAAAAGATAAAACTATGGAGACAGTAAAAAGATCAGTATTTGTCAGGGGTTGGAGGGAGGGAAGGATAAATAAGTGAAACAGAATTTTTAGGACAGAAAAACTATTCTATATAATATGATAATAATAGATATGTGTCAATATACATTTATCAAAATCCATTCAATGTACGTCACCAAGAATGAACTCTAATGTAAACAATGGATTTTGGATAATAATGACATATGTCAATGTAGTTTCAGCAATTGTAACAAATGTACCATTCTGGTGCAGGGTGTTGATGATGGGGGAAGGAATGCATGTATGGGAACAGGAGGTCTACGGGGATCTCTCTACATTCTGCTCAGTTGTGCTGTGAACCTGAAACTGTCCTAAAAAATAAAAGCTATTAAAAACCACTTATGGGTAAAAAAATTTATGAAAAATGCCATACATAATAAAAAAATCCCATACAATAGATAGAATAAAGAATTTTCATGAATTGGGGTACAAAAAGTTCATTGATATGGTTGTAGATTTCACATTGCAACTGAGCTTTAGGAAACTACCACTTAGTGAGTTTTGCTGTAGTATCAATAAAGAATACCCACGATTAAATGAAAAACTTATTAAAATATTCTTCCCTTTTCAACTATAGTTCTGTGTGAGGTCTGATTTTCTTTAGTTTCTTCAGTGGAAATAACATTGCAACAGATGAAATATAAGTGATGATTAAAGATTCTAGCTATTTCATTGAAGATACATGTTAAATTTGGAAAAAAAGTAAAACAATGTCATTTCTTTCCATTAACTTTTTTCATAAAAGTGTACTTATTTTTCTTAAAACTAATTTTTTACATGTAAAATATTTGTTAATGTCACTTAAAAATAAATTAATGCATACTTTTTTTAGATGTCTCAGTTTTCATTTTTAATGTGCTAAATGTCAATTGGTAAAACCTAGAGAAACCAAAACTCTTTAAAGTCCTGAGTAATTACTAAGAATATAAAAGTGTCCTGAAACCAAAACACTTGGGAACCCTGAACTCTAGTAGAGTTATGCCTCTTCTGTTAATCAAAGTCTATATTTTAATCATTGGATTTCATATATTTAGATCCCTGGTTCCTCATTCTCTTCAGTGACTTGGGCTTCTAGAAATTTACAGTTGGTATGAGTTTATCTAATTTAGTTATACTCACTAATATTTTATGCATTTGTTTCCCAAGCTACCTGGACCAAGATGTGCCCAATTGTATGGCTGTTTATTCTGCTAACTTGTTTTACCAAGAAGATACGTGGATCCGTTTTCAAATCCAAAGGTTAGTGCTTTTGGAAAAGTAAATCTCATTTTTATTCCTCCAGGAGGATAATGTACCTTCTACTTAGTGTATAGGATCTCTATGCATATTATGAAGATAAATAAGCATTAATGTAAATTCAATTGACTAGTTTATATCATGGAGCAAAATATATAAGGAGACAAAATTCTACAGTTTATACAAAATGAACACAAAATCCAAACAAGTGACTACAGTATCAGTCAACAGTCAGTATTAATATGTATGTTTTGGCCAAAAGTAAGGACTACTTTCAGACAAAATACATCATGCATTCTACAAAACCATAACAAGAGATGTACATTCTTCTAGCCACCTTGATTTAATTTAATTACTTCATATTTGAAGGGAAAATGATTCTAATGTGAAAACTACCCATGTAAGATTTCCAGTAGTTCTCTCATCATTGTTAATGCACCGCAAATGCACCGAAGGCCCAGATGAAAGTCTGAGTTCTTTTCTCAGAGACCCTAAATATCTAGTTTTTTTTTTTTTTAAGATTATGACATCACATGTTCTGTGCCTGTTAGGTCAGATTCTTAATGAAACCAACTTTCAGTTCAAAAGCATTGAACATTATCTATTTGTCAATCAAATCACCCCATGTGTCATTTAAGGTTAGTGTATTTTTCCTGTTTCATGCCTTTTCTGGTTTCATTTTTAGCTTGGAGGAAAAGCTACTCCAGCGTATTATTATTTTTGTGTGTGTGTGAGCTTTCCTATCAACATATTCTGAAATAAATTACTGGTGAATACTCATTAAAACATAATAACTGTAAGTGATAGAGGGACCTAAAGTTTCTCCTAGGCTGACACCCATATTCTGCAGGTAAGGAACCGGATGCCACATGACTTATCCAGCACTACAGAAATAATGAATAAGCATGGAAGAAATCTAGCCTGAAATCTGTTTACCATTTTTATTAGAGACAGTGATTATTACATTAGTTGTGGAAAATATTCAACATTTATTAATAAGCATTATTGGTAAAGACAAATTTTAGTTTTAGTCAATAAACAAGTCACAGACATAGGCCGAGAGTTTAGAGTGTCATGAAGCATACAAGCTTATCAAACTGTAGGGGAGTCACAGCACAGGGCTTGTCTTCAAATGCAGACAGATAAGGCATACTGGGCACTGCACGTGATGAATTGAAACTGCTTGGCAATCGTCAGAAGCATTTTAAGTAAGACTTCGAGCAGGAATGCTGCTTCACACTAAAACATCTTTAAACACAACAGGCCTCAGTTCCATAGCTTTTTAGAAGGTGCATCCTCCAGACCAGAAGCAGCGCGTAGGAGCAGAGATGCCAAGAGAGAGCACGTTGCACTGTGATACAGCACTGCCGAGGCGGACCACCATCTGAACATAGTGGAAGGTGGCAGCATCCTCCTAAGAAGGCAAGCCGTAGTGCCCAGGAGCTGTACTGGAGTCAAGTGCATGAGCAATCACTAAAATGTGAAAATAAGACCTCTCAAGTCAGATGTGAGCATCCTTATGCAGCCAGACCTCCTGGGATGGCAGTAGCATCGGTGCCACAGAAGGGGATTCTAGAGGGACCACTCTAGAGACCACTACCTGGGCCATGTTTGTTAAGGGTTTCATCACCAGTTCCTTAATGAGGAGGAGACAGATAACAAGAAACCCCTGTGTATTTTCATATTCGCTGTCCATAAATCTGATATCAAAGTATATAATTATCATTATAAAGGTGGTCTTAGATATTATCAGCTGATCCTTCTGTTGTGAAAACTCTTCTAAGGGGAGGATATAGCTCAGTGGTACAGTGTGTGCTTAGCAAGCAAGAGGTCCTGGGTTCAATCTGCAGTACCTCCATTAAAAGATAATAAACAAACAAACAAACCCAATTACCTCCCTCCTCAAAATCTAAAATAAATAAATTAAAAGAATTTTTAAAAAGAATTTAAAAAAATTCTTCCAGTCTTTGAGGTAGATATATGGGTATTTGATTGGGTCAGTGGATTTGTCTGACTATTTGAATTAGGATTCTGCTACTCAAAATGGCAAGGATGGATACCTCCTAGAACTGCCATTCTGAGCCATTGGTCCAAGCCCTCTTTACATGGGCCCCTCCCTAGAGAATGTAATTTGTTCAGTGTTACCTCTATGAAGCTCTGTGTTAATTAGCTCAGGGTTCATTGTTTTGATAATTTTATGCTTCAGCAGAGTATCATGTATTGCAAGCATGCAGAAAACTGCTTTTCAGTTTGCAAAAAAAAAAAAAACCTCAATGGAATCTTAGCAGAAGCTGTTTGTAATAGTCCAAGAAGAACTTCCTTTTACATAACAAAGCATTATTTCCAAGATTTAATTTTGTCATTGCTTTTTCGTTTTCTGTAAAGACTGCTTGATATGAAAGGTCAAGGTATCAGCAAAACATAGACAGATTTTTGCTGAATGACATAAACCTGTCAGAATGCTGAGCTTTGATGTTCCATTAAGTGATCGATGTAGATTACTGACTTTTGGCTAAATGCTACTCAACCAGATAAGGTCAATACCTGTTAGTTCATTGGTGGAATAATTAATCAATCAATACAGGATGCTGGAAGTCAGGGAGAATTATTGCCAGGCTTGTATCTCCGGCTTTGGTCACAGAAATTATTTAAAAACATCCTTGCAGCATTAACCCCCTCTGTGCAGGGTTTATTGTAACATTATGTATCCAGGGAAAAGGAAGAAAAAAAATTCCAGGGAGCAGTACTTCTTGTAACCTTGAGCTCCCCAGAAGGAAAAGCCTCTAACAAGCTGAGTGCACCATCATTAGTTCTTCCTTTCACATCATCGCACTCTGCTTGTAAAATAATTACATGCAATTTTTCTATTTTACAGTTGGACCACATGACTCCCTGTTCTTTTAGCACAGTGACTCACCCCTCCCCCAGACTGCCTGGTTGAAGGCTGGAACTGCTCACCTTTAAACATCTCAGCCAGAGGCTTTTATGGTGGCTGGTTACAGTATTTCCTAAGAGTGAAAAAAATAATCCATCTGCTTCATAGAAAAATTCTGTCTCCTTACTATTTCCTGCTTCTAATGCAACCAAAAATTTCCTTCTTAGAAATGCGCTAGGCAAGGGTTAAGGTTAGAGTTAGGGTTAGTTATATGTTGCAATTTCCTTGAACATGTTAAGTTTGGGACAATTCATAATACTTCTTGCTAGAGGATAATTACTGGCTGGTTCTAATTATTTGCTGGGTCTTATTCTGTGAAATTAAAGCATCTTGTATAATTTACAAGCTACTGTTAATTTTTTACAGGACTAAATGTTAATGCTTTTATTCATTTCAAGTTATTACTATTGTGTGCTGTGATCCAGGAATACTGATGATCGTCGCCCACAAGGAATTGAGACATTTAACCAACATTGGCTTATTGTGGATTCCATGTCATTTCTCCATCTCTTATTTCATTTAATCTTTCTACATCCCTGTGAAGTAGGCTAAAGAAAGATTATTATTGCAATGTGTCAGTTAGGAGAAACTAAATCATGTAAGGCTTATATATAAAACCAACACGCTTAAAATGATATAATATGACTGTCTCTGCCAGCCATAAGGTCCCTTTGTGTGAAGTCACTTTTGTTCATGTAAAAACACAAGAAGTAGAGAAAAATTAAAAAAGAAAAAATAAGATATTATTACCCGTCCTCAACAACCATACTCAGCTGAGCTTTGAACATCTATGCCTGCACTCTGTCAGTGTCCACACACTCCAGCTCACCCACATCAGTAGCAGTCACAGCACAACCAAAGGGCCTCCCCTAAACGAGCTGACAGTGTCAGCTTTAGAGTTGAGGTAGGAGTGGGGATTGAGCTTCTCAGAGCCACCAGTAGGCTAGTGAGAGAAGTGACCTCAGGGACATGCCCAGCCCATGGCTGGGGCAAGGCACTGGCATGCACGTGGGTGTGCTAGGAAACAGGCGTGCATGCTCTTCTCGAGAGAGTTGAGGTGGGATTTTATAGGAGCAGGATCACCCCCATGGAGCTGGACTCCTCAGGAAGGCCTGGAGTTCCCATCTCCAGGACTGCCCGCCTGCTTTCTGATGAGCTAGCCTCTGGCTGTTACATGAGTTGTGAGCCATGAGGTGGGCGTTCCACTGCCGTGCTTAATCTGAACACCTGTGCTTTAGGTTCAGTTGCCCTGGAGGCTGATCTTTAATCTTTGCTAATCCTGTCGCTCCAAGCTGGGGTCTACAGTGTTTTCTTTCTTGGGGTGTTTTCTGTGTCCAATCCATACTGCAGATGTGACACCACGATTTCTGAGCCCTAAGAGAATGGCGGTTTCCACTAGCCACTTTATGGAGTGCTCTGTGTGCGAGCTCCACAGTGTCAGATAAGAAGCCTGAGTTCTGGAGGGGCCCAAAGTAGCTCTTTGGGTTGATGTCCCAGCTGAGTCCAGCCTTCTGGCCATTTTTGCCAAGTCATCTAGCGTGGAGTGGAACAGTCCTGTACCCCGCGGAGCAGGCAGTCCACCAGCTGACTATACTACCTACTGGCCTCAGTCAATGCCATGCAGAAGAATCACCCAGTGGAGTCTGCTTGATTTCTTGATTTACAAAATTGTGAGCAAATTAAAATGGCTGTCATTTGAAGGCACTGTGTCTTAGGTTAATTGTTACACAGTGATCGGTAACTCAAAAAGTTGGTGATGAAAGGAAGTACCACTAGAGGACTGGGGATGGGAGACAGGAGAAGAAGTCAATGTATAGACTCCATTCTGGGCAGGTTCTGTGGGTAACTCAGCCCGCATCCCTGGGACCTCTGGAGGCCGGGTGGAATGTAGCTCAGGGCCGAAGACTGTTGCTGGGCTATGACGCAGCCTTCCAGCCTGTTGATTGCAGGCCTCATGTGCTCCTGAGCCCAGAGAAAGCCTTCAGACAAGGGTCCAGTGTGTGTAGTAAGAAGCTGAGGGTACGCTGAGCACCAAGGGGACAGGTGGGACTGGCAGAGTCTGCTATGA